CTTTTAAATGTAACTTAAAAAAAAAACTGAAAGACTTTAGTTTCCTTTAATTATTGCAAGTAAAAATAATTTTTCAAATTTCACCATAGAGTTGGAATAATCCAAAATTATTTTTACTAGAATAAAGATTTATTTAAACAATATAAAAAGAGTAATAAAAATGATAAAAATAATAATAATTGATATTTTGAATAAATATTTTTAAAAATATATAATTTTTTTAAAAAAAATTGAAAGAGTTTGATTTTTTTATTACAAATAAAGGATTAGTATTTTTCGATTTCATCAGTGAGTCGGAATAATCTAAATTTTTATAAATAATAAAAAATAATAATAATAAATTGTAAATAATAACAAAAAAATAACAATAATCACAATAAAAATTAATTAATTATTTAATCCCTTAATTATCATAAAAAATTATTTTTATTTATGATCTCGTCAAAAAGTTTGGATAATCCTAAAACTTATTCAAAATTTTTAGAATTTTACCGAAGAGTCAAAATAATCTTAAATTTTGTTTAATAAGTTTTGGGAACTCACCAAAGAGTTGGAATGTCCCTAAAGTTATTTTATTAAATAAATAAAATATCTTATGACGAGATTTCAAGAATTTTATGAATGAAGCATTGGAGAACTTATAGAATATGAAATAATAATAATAATATTAATTTCATAACAAAGAAATTTTTCTTAAATAAGTTTAAGGAAATTAAATTTAAATATAGAAAAAAGATCATATCATCAAGATGAAATGATTACACATGTTTAATTGGTATCGCTCTTTGAACAGACGACATAAGAGTGCTAATACCTTCCTCACTCGCAATCGTATTCTTAGATCCAAGCTTGATTACGCATACCTAAATTTATTTTAGCAAATCTTAATTAATTTTATGATTTTTATTAAAAGCTGACATTTTTTTATGACCAATCACACCCTATAAGAAAAAAATTAATGGAGACTCCAAAAATTTTCATCCAAGTCTAGCAATCGAGTCTCCCACAGACAAAAAATCGTTATGAGATATACCAATAAAAAATATTTTTAAAAAAAATTATAATTAAGTATATAAAAATTTATCTCATTTATTACCAATGAAATTTAAAAATTTCACTAACACAATTAAAGGATTATCATATATATGATTAAAATTATTTTTAAAAGAATAAATTTATATAAAAATAATATGATATGGGATTCTATTAATATTGGATTTCAAAATTTCATTGATGGTATATAACGGACTTTTAAATGCAATTTTTTTAATGAATTGTAAGTGTAGACATTTATTTTGTTCAGATTAATTAAAATAAATCTATAATTTTTAATGCGTTCAATTTAAATCGATTCGGACATTTTAGTTATGTTTATTAAATCTAATTATTGTATATATTTTTGATTAATTATTTTAAAAAGAAAAAAAAAAGAAAATGTCAAATTTTTTTAACTTTGGCAGTTGAAATCTCGCTGCCAGAAAGCGTTTTTTTCCCTCCAAAATTTATATTATTTTGAGGCATCGAATTCTACCTCCACTAGCCATAATCAAAATTTGCAGAAAATCAAACTTTGCAGAAAACTCTCACTGGCTTTAAGAAAACATTCCTGAATCCTAGATTTTTTTAGATTTGGTTGCTATTCAACCTTATAAACCCTTTTAAAAAATAACATAGAGGAGGGAAAGGACAAAAAATTTTTAACAAAAAAGCCCAATGCCATTTTGCCTACCCGAAAATCATATTCACAACTAGAACGAATAGAGAAGCAACAAAAAAAACCAAAAAAAGAAATAAAAAATAAAAAAATAGACAATAAATTTTCTCTCTCTTAAAATTTAAGGTGTTCTGAAAGATTTTAGAGCTAATTTATGGACAGTATGAAGGTTAAGGGAAATAGAACAACATACTAAAATTTCAAGCCCATTGGATGGCAACAAGGTAATTTTTTTGGTGGCCTAAAGTTTAAGGTCAAAATTTAGATCTAAGATTCTCTAAAGGGTTTTTAAGAAATCCAAATAGTGAAAATCTAAATAAAGGTGAGAGGAAGGTTCAATAAAAATTTGGTTGTCATCAACAGTAGATATAAGTTTTTTAGTTTTGGATTTCTTAATTTTTGTGGGAAAAAAGAACTTTTTGGGAAAATCTAAACCGTTAGATCGAAAAATGAAGTGGAAAGAAGCATTTTGGGTTTTTTTTTTTTAATTTTCTAAAATTAGTGACCGGCAGACGGCACCAATTATAATTCTTACAGCCAAAATTTCTTTAAAGAGTGAGGGAGAGTTTTGGGAAAAGCAGAAAGAAATAAGAGAGGAGGATAAAGAAGAAAATGAAAAATTTTAGGTTTTTGGGACTATTTATAACATGACTAAAATGACGTCGTTTTAATTAAAATTGTAACCAAGCCACTAAGTCGAGCTAGGAATCGAGCTAAGCCACCTAGCAGAGCCAAGCTGATTAAGCTATTAACTTTGAACTTAAGCTGATTGATCAAGTCATTTGACCATTGATCGAGCTGTTGACTACGTTGACCAAGGGCATTTTCAAATTTTTTTTGTAATTTTTTATTTTTTCATATTTGTCTCAACTTTTTTTAATATATTTTTATTTTATTTTTATGTATTTTTTTAGGAAAATAAAATAAGTTTGCAAAAAATGTTAAGTAAAAAGTTGAAAAATTAATTTTTTCTTATAACAAAATTTTGAAAATATTTAGTAAAGTTCCTAAAATATTTTTTGAAAGTAAAAATGAAAAAATATTTTATTTTATTTTCTAAAAAAGGCTAATGAAAAAGTTAAAATATCAATTTTTTTCAAATAAAATTTTGAAATATTTAGAAAAAAGTAGAAATATCAATTTTTTTCAAATTGTTTAAGGATAAAAATAAAATAAGATAAATAAAAATAAACTAAGAAAAAATTGAATAAAATTTTCTTGGAATGAAATTTTGAAAAATATTTTTAAAAAATTGAAATATCAATTTTTCCTAAAATTCCTTTAAAAAAATTAATTAATAAAATAAATTAAGGAAAAAGTTAAAATGAACTTTTCCTTATAATAATTTTAAAACAATGTTAGAAAAAAATTGAAATTTTTTTCTAAAAGATGAAAAAAAATAAAATTATCAAATCTTCCAACAATAGTGGAATTACTAAAAAATTAAAATAGCAATTTTTGCGCATATTTTCAATAAAGGTATTATTTTTTAAATATTACTAAAATATTAGAGTATTTAGAAAATTATACAATATCAAATATTTTAATAAGAAAATAAAAAATAAAAAATATATATATATTTCAATCTTACACAGAACCCCTTCAAGAGTATCAATAAATATCTTAAATATTCTTGAGGTAATAAAATATTCTTGAATTGATAATAAAATATTAGAGTAATTTAAAAATAATTTCTAATATGAAATTCTTTAGAAATTTTTTTAAAGAAAAATTTGTTAAATTTAACGGATAACATAAAATCAATTGGTATCATTTTTGAACAAGTTTTATAGAGGTGTTATAATATTTTTCATACATAACCATACTTCAAACCTAACTTTGATTCGCAAAGCAAAAAGATTTTTTAAAAATAAATCTTAATTAATTTTAAATTTATTTAAAGATAAAATTGATGATCAATTACACTTAAAAATATTAATAATGACTTTTTGATATTTACGTTTAGTAATCGAATTTTGGGACCAATATATCATGACAATAAGATTTTAGTATCAATAAATATTTTGAATATTCTTAAAATAAAAAATATTCTTAAATAAATACTAAAATCTTTAGAGTAGTTTAAGAAAGATTTTTAATATTAAAATTTAAAAATTAAAAAAAAAAATTTGTCAAGCTTAATAGATCACACAAAATGAATTGATATTGATTTGAAAGTTGATGAATTTTAATTGCTGGCCATGTGATTGAAACTTTTCTAATTAAGCCGCCTATGTGAAATTCACGTAAATGGAATGACAGGAATTAATTATTTCCTGTCCTATCAAACATCTTGAGAATTTTTTTTTTCTCTATTATTTCATCTATTATCAATTAAATTTAAAATTTCTCTAACACAATTAGAGGATTATCATATGTATGATTATAATTATTTTAAAAAAATAATTTCATATAAAAATAATATGATATGTGGTAATATTCTTTTAAAATCGGATTTAAAAATTTCACCACTGTATATAACAGACTTTTAAATGCAATTTATTTTTCAATGAATCATAAGATTTTATTTTTCTCTTTATGTCACTGCAAGATTTCATTTTTGCTATTAACTTAAAAGTGTTAATTAGTGTCTAGGCATTGATTAAGATGATATTTAAGAAAGAAATTTACGAAATAGTTTTAAAAAATTGCATATGATAAAAAGAAGTTATTTGATGAGTCGAGTGAGTAATTTTTTTAAATAAATATGAAATAAAAAATTCAGAAGACATAAATATCTCTACTACATTTTTTATTATTTTTATTTTATTTTGATCTTTAAATAATTTCACCAACTGAGTTGGTGTTATTTGACTCATGACATCAACTCAGTCAAAAAAATTTAAGAATATCATAAATAATACAATGTCATTAATATTCTCATAAGGTGAGAATTTAGAATTGACTAACCAGAACATACCTTCAAATTAAGCTTACTCAGCTTCATCAGCAAAAAATACCTTTTATTAAAAAAAAATTTTTTTACTAGAATTTTGTCAACGAGTGCTCACTCTTTTAGTTTACTCACTATATTACTTTGAAAAAAAAATTAATATTGCTTATTATTAGATCCAATTTTGATATTATTTTAGGTAGAGCTTCATTCTCTTTTTACTAATCATTTTTGCATAAAATTAAAACCAATGATCTTTATCATTGGGTGAATTGCAAAGGGTTACCCCCAACTCTTAACATGATTAATAATGTTACATAAATCAATGGAAGGATTTATTATACAGTCAATCCCACTTTTCTATATATGATCTTACCAACAGCAAACATTTTATTCCAATAACACTTTATTAGATGGCGGTTCTTACAGATTATTCATGACATTTTGTGAGGTAAAAATTAATGGGAACTGACAAGGGTACTGTCACCACAATCCACAAACTCATAGTTCACGATAAGGTAGCCTTGAGCATAGCCTTTTCCATCAGTGTCAATCTGTTGAAACACATTCCAGTCCAAATCTAAGCCTCCATTGCCACATTTATCAACGATTCTCACAGTTGCCTGAGCTCCAGTGCCGGTGTTGGTCACCTACAGGTATGCAATATGAGACTAAAATAAGTTTATAGAACATAATTTTAATGAACGCACCAGGTATCTGAATTTAATTGCCTTCAACATTCAGTTATATTCAATAAGGAGATAAAAACTAAGAGCTTGAATTATAAGTTGCTTACCTTTAAGCACTTTCCACAGGCCTCTTCCCCTTGAGGACCTTCCGGTGCACAGAAGGCGGTCCATCCATACTTGCTGCGCCATTCCAAGGGCTTATCAGCATACCATGTGGAGCAGAAAGCACTGACAGCAGTCAAGTCCCAGTTATTCTGCTCAGGGTAGTAGTAATGGTAGGTGGCTCTCACATTAGAAGCACTTTGGGCTGTGGCAGAAGCCACCAGACAGGCCAAGAACACAACGCTTATGCTAACCAGTCTCTCCATTTTTTTTTGTCAATTCAATTTGTAGCTTAAATTCATTTGCAGGGTGCTCAAATTTATACGGAAAAACGTCCCCTGACAGACTTACTGATAACCTTATAATGTTCAAGGTTAAACCTTAAACTTGTTAAGAGCATATGATTTTCAGGCTCTCAATTCATAGAGATGCTACATCACCATCATATCTGATACCAGCTGGCACGGAACATATATGGTTCTGATTTCTTAGCTTCATTTCTGGATGTAATAAATCACACGTGATGAATACTTTAAACATATGATAGAGACTCAACAAGGGGGCAGTCAGTTGTCGTTTGGTCAATAAATGTGGCTCATCCACTGGAGTCAGGCCAAGTCATTTCTTGGATAAACACAATGCCGAATCCTTACGTGAGATATGACAAAATCAAAACATTATTTTATTTATAATATGGTAAAGCAAAAATATCAACGGGATCAAAACAACAGCATATTCCCTTATCACATTATATGGCTTAAAGCAAAAATATCAACCGGATCAAAACAACATCCATGCAGACCTTAACGAACGCTGCAGTGGTGGCGGTGGCTGTGCTGCTGCCAGCCTTCTCGCCCTCGTTGGAGCTGTTCTTCTGGACTGCCATGATGTTCTTCCTGTAGGATCTGACTGGTGGCCATCCCACCACTTGTGCTCTGAAATCAAATGTGCCGTCAATTTTAAGTAACTAGATAATTTCATTTTTTACCAGGAACATTAATCATATTGGTCAAAACAAGGAAATAACATTCTAATTTTCCATTTTTTTCTCTTTTCTGTTAAAAAAATAAATTACTATTTGCATTTTACGAAAGTTTGGTAGCTTTGCTGTGGACTATCTCATCCACTTTCCTGTTAAACCATTTAATTATTGTTTGGGTGTTGGGAAAAGTACTAAAGATTCCAATTGTTTTGTTTTTTTCCCTCTTTTTCCCGACAAACAATCAAGCCATCAAATATCCCAAATTAAACTGTTTTTCCACTTTAGAAGACCTAGATTTCATTGAAGACTCATCTTCTTCAAGTCCAAATGAATATTCAACAATGGAAGAAAAATTTAAAATCATCTTAAAAAAAAACTCTAAAATCAAAAAATTAATTACTTTCATTGAAAAATATGCTCATGCATGTGTCGTAGACTGAAACTCAATTTTTAAATTCGAACATGCACTAATTCGATATTTTATATCAATTTAATTATAATAATTCATATCCTTATGAAATATTATGCACTATAAACTTTTTTTTTATGTGGGATTGGAGTATTTTGTCATTTTTTTTTGGAGGACTTAGCATGACATTCTCCCCTACTCAATTTCATGATACTCTCGTCATAAAAATTAGCCACCCTATCTACCTAATCTTTTTTTATGTGGGATTGGAGTATCATGTCTATTCTTTTTTGGAGGGTTTGACATAACATTTTTTCTCACCCAATCTCATGATACTCTCATAATGAAGGTTAACTTTTTTTGGAAGGCTTGGTATGATATTTTCTTCCATCCAATCTCATGATATTCTCGTCATGAAGGTTAGTCATTTTATCTACCTCTCTCGAAATTCAAACTTTAAATTCGTGTGAGTTCAGGTCCTGAACATACACTCATCTGACGTCTCAAATTAACATAACTGTTATCAAATTTTACCCATATAAATTCTTTTGACATACCATGTTTATATGTGAGATTAATTAAGGAAATTTTTTATTTATTTTGAAGAGGCATATGGAATCAACAAAAGACAGGTGGACAGTGGGAGCCCACAGAAAAGTCAGCAAAACCCATGTGGCATGCGCCCGAGAATTAAGATTCATTCTCTTGATTGGGTGAGAGGGCATTTATTTGGGGCCCATTCCGCACCCACTTGGTTTTCTTGCTCTTCAGAGGTTGGACAGCTTGGCATTTCTTCACCTTAGCTACCCATGTGCCTTGTTTCACCCAAATATCACAAGCATGTAATATAATTTCATATATATATATGTATATATATATATATATATATGATATGATAATAAAAGTTGATGAACGGAATTAAGGTTTAAAGTCTGAATATAACTTTGAAGCTTCACCCTGCTTTTTAGCTCTTTTTCCTGTTTCTTTTTCTATCAACTGATGGAGTAACCTGCAAAACCACATGCCTAAGCACTTTGATTGCTAAACTTTTTGCACATCACAGGAAGGCAAATTTGTTTTCTGGCATTTGGTGAATTGAGTGTGTATGAGCCTTAGAAGTGGGTAACTCAGTTAACAACACAATAATGTGATTTAATCTCATCTGCTGATGCACTTACAGGCAATTGATTTAGATCCGACTGATGCTGCATTACATTCAAATAGAAGCCTTTGTTGGATCCGTCTTGGACAAGCTGAGCATGCTTTAACTGATGCAAAGGCTTGCAGAGCATTAAGACCAGACTGGCCAAAAGCTTGCTGTACGGAAGGTGCTGCTTTGCGATTGTTGCAGGCATGTTGCAATCTTTTACCATAGTTATCAAAGTTTCATACTGCTATTGTTATTCTTGTTATCTGACCATTTTTAGCTGCTGCTTTTATTGCAGAAGTACGATCAAGCAGCCAATGCCTTTTACGAGGGTGTGAAGCTTGACCCTGAAAATAAAGAACTTGTAAATGCTTTTAGGTTTGTAATCTCACTCTCTATCTTCTCTGCTTAGGTCATCGTTTTTAGCTGTATGTAAAACCGATTTGCCTATTGCTAACTTAAAATTTTTAGTGTTTTTCAAAGGGATATGGGCACGATGTCAAGGATCTATAGCAGATAAAAAAATGAGTTTCTTTCCAAAGTACACAAGCCGCAACATTTTGACATTATGATTTCTTGTTTCATGTTTTTATCGATATTTCCTACTATCAAGGAGATGAAAGCTATATGCCAATGATCATTTAAATATCTGGATAAAGCTGGTTAATGTTCTTGCTGTATCTATTGTAGTTTCGTTTCTGCATTGGCTCTAAGATATGCATTTGCCTTCTTCCAATGATTTACAAAATTTGCAGGGAAGCTGTTGAAGCAGGGAGGAAGTTTCACGATACAGATCAGGAAAAATCTTAGGTTCTACTTGGATGATACACCAAAGAAGAAGATGAATGCACCATGCTCACTTTTTCTAGTGTGAAGATTGTGTTTTAAGGCGATGTTTATCAGAATGTATTACTGGCGAAGCAACACAACAGAAAGTTGTGATCATAAGAGTACATAGAAACATTTTTAAGAGCAAATCTATGTTCCATGAGAATTGCATGCTTCTTTCATGCATCCTGGTTTCATGAGTGACTGTAGACTTTCTTATACTCTTGTAAGAGTTTTGCCACGAGGAGAGATTGCCATGCTTTTAGTTTTTGAAATCCATCTTTCCTTTCCCTCCCAGGTTCCTAAGATTGCTAGCTCTCACTCCTTGTCCTGACATGAATGATTTTACCATGAATTAGCCCTCAAATTGCTCAACAAAATTGTTAATCGGTAAAATTATAAATTGAGTACCTAGTATCTATGGCTTGGAATTTTCTTTTATTTTCTCTTCACGTAGGGTTTTTTTTTTTTTTAATTTTGGGCATTGAGATAAAATAATTTTAGATTTTATATGAAAATAATATAAAAAAAGGAGAATGATATTGTTTAAAATTTTAATTAAAATTATATATGAATTTTATAAAAATTAAAAATATATTTCGTATTAATATTAATTATGATAGATATTATTTTCAAAGAAGGATTATATATAAAAATAATATTAATTAAACTCCCAGCTAATGTCTTTTAGTGTCTTTAACAAAAAGAAAAGTGGTATAAATCAAATAAAATAAAAGAATACAAGTTTGGGCCAAAAAAAAAAAAAACAACTGTACAACCATTCCAAAAAAACAAGAATATAAGTCAAATTTTAAAAATTAGAAATTGAAAAAAAAAAAAAAAACCTCCAATTTTGCTAGTTACAAAGGTGACCCAAAAAATTTTCAATTTTTAGGGTTTTCTCCTGGTTCGGTCATTCCCTTTACCCCAAATCTTTCAAGATCCAATCTTTCTTCCTTCGAACAAAAAACCCATCTCCAAAAATGCCACCCACAACCACAACTTACGGCACCATCACCTCCAGCCCAACCTCCACTTCTTCACGTGCCAAACACATGCGCCGCCCATGGCAGAACTTGTCTCCCTCTCCTCCTTCTCCCTCCCCATCTCCTATGGCGATGCCAAAGCCCGAATAAAACTGAGCCTCTCTTACTTCCGCGTAAACTACGTAATCGTAATGCTAACAATCGTCTTCTTAACTCTCCTTTGGCACCCAACTTCAATGATAGTTCGTTTGATTACTTTCATTTTCTGGTGGTTTTTTTACCTCTTTAATGACAACCCAGTTGTTTTTTCCAACAAAACGGTGGATGATAATGTTTTCTTGGGGGTTTTGAGTTTTGTTACTGTGGTTTCATTGGTTTTGACTCATGTGGGTGTTAATGTTTTAGTGGGTTTGATTATTGGGGTAGTTGTTGTAGGTGTTCATTCTGCCTTTAGAAGAACTGAAGATTTGGGTTTTGGTGGGGTAGAAGAATAGGAAAATGGGTTGCTTTCTGTTGTTGGAAGTCAGCCTTTGAGGCCTACTTCTGGATATAATAGGATTTGATTTGTTTTGGGACTTTTTCGGGGTTGAATTGTTAGGGAAGTTGTGTTTTGGTGGTTGATTTTGAAGTGAGGCTTTGATGGTTTGAGTTTGTGGAAATTGGATTGGAGGAATTGGTTGCTAAATGATCCTTTTATTTTAGTGTTTAGGATTTTGGTTGAGGACTGCTTGTGGTTATGATATTATTGGTTTAAGCTTTGAGGAGGATGGTATTTGAGGCCTTGCTTGTTTCCTTCATGAATTCATCCCTGTGATTGTTGGAGTGTCTTTAGTTTGAAATTGTTGTGAAATTTGGTGGTTTTTGGGGCTTTGATTTGAACTGGTGTTTTGGGGAATCGTCTGATTTTTTTGGTCCTGGTGTTTTTGGTTCAAGATTGTGGAGGTAGGATTGGTGGCCTTGGTATGATCCTTTTAGTGGTTGGTATTTGAGCCGTTACATGTTTGAGTTATTTCATTCACGAAATGATTCCCTTGATCATTCTTCATTTGGAGTTGTCACTTTTATTAGGAGAAGAAAGTTGCATTTTTGGGACTTGGATTAGAAGTGGGTATCACAGGTTGTTTTGTATTTCCTCCTCATTGGTTGAAGCCCAAAGGTGGCAAGATCTTGTGGCATAATATTGTATTTCATGTACTGTGGAAATAGAGGAGAATGTTGTGGCTCCTCAGTTGATAGGGAGGTTGGATTTTGTTCTTTGGCCAATTAACATGATTATTAAGTTAAATTTTGTGGCTTTGGATATGAATAGTGACGCTATGTTGCAAAGCAACAAGTATGACACAGGCATTTTCTTGTCTGCAGTGTTGGTATGGGAGGTGGGAGGTAATTAGTTTGTTGCCTTGTTATACTGATACGGGAAGTAACTTTGTTTTAGTCATTCAACTGTAATCACTAATGTGTTTATTTCTGCTGTAGCACAATCTCAATGAATCTAATGATCAATCAACTTTATAGTTCTTTCCCTGCGAACTTGGTGTCTTAAAGCATTTCTTATAACGGTTGTTTGATAACCTTGATTGTGGCTGTTTGCAATTTGCATTAAGCATGATGTAACAGATAGAGGTTGCTAAACGCTTTAATCCAAGCATTAACCTCAAATTTTGCAGTAGTCGTGATTTTATTTTGTGATTCAGCACTATGTTATGATTTGGTTTTCTAGTGTCACTGTCTCTTTGCACTAACATCTGACAGGTAGAGTTTGGTTTCTTCATGGGGTACTAGATTTGCTGCTGTGGCAGCTAGATGTTATCTCTGATTTTACCAATTACTGGTTTCGAGAGTCGCTTGTATCTCTTCGAGCAGCCAGTTTATCATTTGACTATCGGCATTGTCATATTCCGGGTTTGCCTTTGGTGTCCAACTACCTGATTAATGATTGCATGTGTTACCTGAATCCTACTTCAAGGCAAGAAAACCATCATTGTAGCTAGTAGTGTTTGCTTATGTGAAAGTCAGTTTTCTTTTCTGCTATTGCATTATACATTATAGCTATGGTTGCATGCTCCAACGGATTTCTTTATGAATTGGAAGCTTCAAGGACTTATATTTATGTTATCCTACATACCCCAACACTTACCAGCATATTTCCAGGTGCAAGGCTAGCCTGATTTAGTTCTTTACCAAAAAATGGTGTAGCTATAAGGGCAGTTGGCTTTGCTATAGCTTTTGACAGATTATTATGGCCAATAAACGTTGCAAAGCGCAGTGCAGAACATTCTCTAATTTTATTATTTCACTTTTCAAATGGCCATCAGCTGAGCTCCTCTGTTTCGGAATTACATTAAACTACTCCAATCGTAGTTATATCGACTATTAGTGTCTAGTTATTTTATAGGAAAGTTTAGGGTGAGAGAAGTTTTCCATTATAAGATCAAGGCAGATGGAATGTTTTAAATAAGACTCGTATGAAATTTACAGATTGTTTATCACTAGAGATTACAGACAAGGAGACTCAAATTTAAACCCTACGAAGGAAGTTTATTGCAGGCAGCAAAACTGGAACTTAAATTTTATAAATGAAATATTCAAATCTTACCACAAACTTTATAAAATCTTACAAAATCTTACCAACCTAATCAACCTTTCAAATAAAATAATCGAATCTTACTAACATCAATCCGTTGGCAACTATTTGCGTCAAGTTAATAACTAATTTAAATCCAGAAAGGTTCAAGGGTAAGATAGGTCAAACAATAATTTAAAAAGTGACAAGAAGGAATCAGTTCAGATTCATTTCATTCTTTGATATGTCCATACTCAAGAGGTTTACGTCAAAAAGGATACCCATGAAGACCTTTAAGGTGATACACCCTAAAATCGAAATAAAAGATGAGCAAATCTCCGAGAAAAAACATGCTGGATGGCAACAAAAGAGGGTAAATATCAAACACAAGCAAGTAGTATCAAACTACATGAAAAAAAAAAAAAATCCAAAGCTATTAATCCTCTTCTAGATTGATGGAGTCCTTAAACTTCCCATACAAAATCTTCTTCAGCTCAGCCATTTGTGCTAGTACTGATTCTTTCTCCTCCTCCAGTTTTTCCAAGTTCTTGCTGGTTACTTCCTTCATCTCCTCTATCCTGGTCTCCACTTCCTCCTTGGGCACATGAGCAAAGACTTCTCATATTTGGAACCGAACTACTTCCTCATCAGTTAGAATCAACTCGTTACAAGCATCCTCCAGGTTATCATTTGTTTCCTGGGAAAAAAAATATATAGTCAGAAAATGTAATCCCATAAGATAGTATCCACATTTCAATAGTAGTAAAAACAGCAATTTTTATGGTAGAATGGGGAGTCTCAATAGTTTCTAAAATGGGAAAATGAAGATATCAATTGCAATTTGTCAGATGCAACAAATATTTAACTATGATTAAGATTAAAGCTCTTCAGCAGGGCAAAGACAACTAGTTTAGACACTAGAGACAAACTGGGATAATCAATCAGAAGAGTAGCCAGAACAGCAGTTTCAGTTTCTTTTTCCCAATGTATATGTCATCACAGAAACAAAATACTATTTGTTTCCATTCTCAATATCCATCTAATTCAGCAAAACCAATCCTGCAACTCACAAATATACAACAAGGAAAAAGGGAAACTGAGAGTAAAGAAGCAAAATTTTCCACATGAGAAAGAGACCAAACCCTAGAACTCACAAACGCACATAAACAAACGACCTTAAACATCAAGATAGCCAAAACTGAATCTGGGTTTTTTCTCATTCTGAAAACCCATCTAAAAAATAATGTTAAAAAGTCAAAAAAAGGAAAAAAAATCCTCAAAATCCAAAACCAAAAGGAAAAAAATAAATATGAACAGAAATTATAGAAAACCCAAACCAAAATAATACCTTACCAATCTTGATTTCATCTTCAAGCTCATGAAATCGATTGTTTAATCTTCCAAATTTGTTAATGTTCTGTTGATCTTCCCAAGTCACCTCCGTCTCAGATCCTCCAGTACCCTTGAAATCATTTCTCATTTTAGAACCCAAAAGAAAATTGAATAAATTAATAAACAAAAGATGTAACAAAGAAGAAGGGTTCTTGGAAAATACCTGTTGCATGGTTGGTTCGATTGATTTTACCGAAGAAAGTTGTATGACAACAGAAGCAGCTCTCACTCGGAATTGAACTGAAACTCTTTTTCTCTTTTGTTCTGGCCCTGTTATAAAAAACTAACATAATAAACGTGTACATTTATTACGTTTTTAATAGTTTAAAATTTTCACAATATTACATTTTAAAAAATTCATAATATTAAAAAATTAATATAATAAAAAGTACTATTATTATTATTTTAATCTAGTTTATAAAAAATAAAAATTTTAATATAAATGATTTCAAGTATTATTTATTTTTTTATATTGCGAATAGAAGAATTGGAATCAAGTTATTTGAAAATCAATTATTGAATAAAATATTTAATGTAATTTTTTTTAACTTAAATTGTCCACATATTTATTAAAATATATATGATAGATATATGAGTAAAAGTTCATTTATATTAATATAAGTGTTATATATTTTTATTAATTTTGATTCAAATTTAATTCTTCGTTTGGATTTTATTATATTTTTGATATAATATAATTAAATTTATTATACTACTAATTGAATCTAAATACTAATTTTAATAAGATCAAATAACTATAAATTTTTTTATTATAATTTTTTTCAATTATAATAATAATAATTTTTTTTTCAATCATACCTACAATAATTTTTGTTATTATTTTTAATCTCATTATAATAAATTTTATTATCTATCTAAATAGAGTTTAAATCTATAAAACTTGTCTTTAGTATTTTGATTCAAAGGTGTAAAAAATGAAGGAGCCTAGTTTACCCATTAATTTCCTTTGAATGTTTGGTTTTCATAGGGACTTTGACTTTATAGGGAGTAAGTAATGGGTATTAATGCTGATCTACCCAACTATTTTATCTTCTCATCGGATTACTTTCAACCAATTATCACTTCATGTGGAAGAATATGATGAACTAGTTATGATTGTTTTGCTTGGTTTATGGAAATTTTTTTAGCTTTATAAGCGAATTCAAAAGATTAACACATATCTTTAAAAAATTCAATTATTTAATTATAGTAAAAAATTTTACTATGTTCAATGTACTCAATCTTATGATAAGATACATGCATCTTATATTAGAAAATTAAAGCTTGTGGAAAGAAAAAAAAAAAAACCATAGAATTATTGCCTTTTATTATTATTATTATTTTTGGCTAAGTAAGATAGGTGTTTAGGACTCCGTTTTTGCACTGGCCAACAATTCTTACCTTTCTAATGGATGCAGGGGATTTGGCTGTTTCTGTTTAGAAATTGAAAAATCGTAATTGAATCAATTGACTATTTTACTATTCATTTCAAACAATAAATGAACAATTAATATTTTACATCTAAAATTATAAAGTGTT